CTTATTTAGGCAATCTATTCTCGTTCATTCTCTGGACGTGTCCGTACCAGATAAGATAGTATATATACAAACAAAATTAGTAATTGGGGATCATTCACTAGCATAAATGAGTCAGTTAAATTATCTAGGGTGTGACACAAGTTCCGATTAGATATATTATTTATTGATTGCAAAATTTACATGTTTCGATACATATCAGGAACAATTTACAGAATATTTTATAGGCAAGACAAGAACTGACACAACAATAACCTCAAAGGACAACGTTTGGAAACTAAAGATATATAAAACATAGAAGAGTGGACCGAAATGATTTGAGTCGCGCTGAAATTGAATGACAAGAAATGAAGATCTACGAAACAACACTGGGATTACAAATTTTATAAAAGGAATATGGGTGAAGGTTTGAAGATTGCAAACTATTGAAATAAAGACCACCTACACAATTATATTATCTAAGAAAGAAACCAAAACCGTGTACACATATCGGAATTTTCGGTACAGAAAAGATGCATGTATAGCAGTGGACTCAAAAAAAGGATGATGATGACAGCTCACCAATTGATAACCATTATTAAGTGGAATTCTAACGTGAACTCTTGCCGATAAATATCACCTGCTTGTAATTAAAATTATTAAATGATAATTAATAATTGAGAAAACTTTAAGAATTTGCACTTTAATCATTTGTCGTAGGTTCCAAATAATCGATATAGATATTTTAGGTGTGTTTCCAGCAAAATGATTTTATTGTAATATCAACAAACTGATAATATAATCGTGATCATTATCGATAGTCACTAGTTTCTACTAATTGATTTTTTATCATGCGTTGATGCATTTTAATTTGTTGGAACACAAAATCAGGTAATACTCCAGTCGAGAATGCCACTGAACCTCGAAAAAATTGTGGTAAGCAAGTTGAAGCAATATTTGAATCATGTACATTTGTATCTTGAACTAAACTAGAACATGGTGCTACTTCATTTGATACGCAAAATATTTGTAACAGTTGGATTATTACCCAGGTCAAAATGTGTCGGTTTTATATTATTGTATAGAGGTGTATTTTCCACTATAGATTTGATCTATATCTATGTCTGTTCCATATTCTTGTATAATCATCTAACTGTATAAGGTTGTGTAATTTCTCTAGTTTACGTTTGACTCTACCAAATTCCTATTTATCAGCATGTATGTAATAACGAGTCTCTACTCTCTTTCTTACTTCTAAGTTTCTGACCTTGAGATGGTTTTGATTTTGTACAGGTGTTTTGTAAAATGGTTTCAATTAATCTAATCGTGTTCAGATCTCTCTTCCAAACATCAAATTTGAAGTTGTACTAATCTACGTAAAGCTGTAATATATTCATTGGCACTTTCCCCTTCATGTTGTTTTCTTTGTGAAAAACTGAAATTTTCCACTATTTACAACGGTTCAGGATTGTAATATTGTTTCATTGTATTTACCAGTTCATCATATGATTTCCCGCCTGTTTTTTCCGGCGAAATCTTATCACAAAGAATATGATATGTATCTGGACCAATGTAGTGTAGAGGCGTTGAAACACCGGTCAAAATTTTTGGATGCATCGTAAGTTTCTATGCTAAATACGGTGTGAACTGAATGGATTGTAGTCTAAGTCATCTTTTAAATGTATATGTAATTGTAAATTAGACAGGATTTTAATTATGTATGTAGATTATTTGTAAATTTTCACTGTGGGCCACCACGCTGCAGTTAGGTTATGTATGTATACTGGCCTTAAAATTTGTATTTTTTACAGATTCGATCAGTCCTCGTCGCCAAGCTGTTGTATATGTACGTGTAATGTAATGAAAATTGTGTTGAATGTATTTTATGTTCCTTTATTTCACTAATTAAAAGCATGTGTATGGTAACCTAAATAACGTAACTCCGCAAGTAATGAAGTGAGTAACGTCCCATGACATCTGTCAACGTCCAAGTGTCATGTCATAGAATTACTAAAATGTCAAGTATATGACAATTCTCATGGGATCAGTACAATGTATCCCTTTTATTAACCGGCCACTGTAAAGTTTCAATAACTAGAGCCTAATCTTTGAAACCTATAAAATGAAATTTTAGTTTTTAGTTTTGGCAACAAATGCTAGAAAAAGGCTGAATTTAAACATTCACATTACAAACGATATTCTATCTATCTATATATCTATACAGCCCTTGCTGTCCAATTTTGGACATAGGCCTCCTCTTTCTTCTTTCACGTCTCTCTATTGTAGGCAGTTTTTATCCATTTCGAGCCTGCGTGTTTCTTCAAGTCATCTGACAATCTCATTTGTGGCCTTCCTCTTTTTCGTTGGTAACTATATGGTCTCCAGTGTATAATCATCTTATTTCATCTGTCGTCTTTTCTGTCTTATGGTATGTCACTTTTGTTTTCTTGGTTACTTTTGTTTTGTTGCGGATCCAAGTATTTCTTTTCTTGTCTGATAGCCTGATGTTCAGCATTTGCCTTTCCATGGCTCTTTGGGTCTTTGCTATTTTTTCCATGTTTTCCTTAGTAAACGTCCAATTTTGAGAACCATAGGTGAGAACAGGAAGTACAAATTTATTGTTGATTCGCTATTTATTCATATATATTTTGTATATTCTTCCATTTTATCTGTTATTAATACAATAGTCTCTGCATATATATCAAGTGATTTAAGTACTGGCCATTTATGTTAATACCCCTTTTTTGCCATTGTAATTTCCTCATAACGTCTTTCAAACCTTGATTGAATAGTTTGGGTGATATAGTGTCACCTGTCTGACTCCTCGCGTATCTTATAGGCTCCGTTTGTTCAACTATTTTAATGGATGTTGTTGCTTGATCATATATATTGAAAATTAAGTCCGTATATCTATAGTCTATTCTCCATTCTGTGATCTAATGTTCTTCGAATGCTTTTTCAAAGTCTACAAATGCCATATACATTGAATTGATATTCGTTGGGCCTTTACTTAATTTTATCGTAACAGATGGTCACTTGTACTGATCTTTTCTAAACCGCTGCTCTCTGACTGGTAATTATCTAACTTAGTTTTAATCTGTTTGTTAGTAGTTTGTTAACAGTTGTACATTACATTAGTAGCGTTATGGGTCTATAGTTTTTCAGATCTTTTTTATCGCCTTTCTTAAATAGTAATAGTGTTATTGCCTCGTTCCATGTGGTGGGTATTTGTGCTGCCATTTTCTTTCTTGTTTCAAATCTACTATCAATGATCAGCTTGGCTCGGACTAGTCTATGCTCGCTACCAGTTGAGAAGCGATTTAGGTCTATTACGTTTTTAACCATGGATTTTTGCGTTGAAAGAATATAATCAATTTCGTTTTTAGTTTCACCATTTTTGACTAATCCATTCCATTTTCTTTGGGGTTTTTTCTTAAAGAAAGTTTGCATTGCATATAGTTGATTGTCCTCCAAGTAATTCATTAATGTGTGCCTCTATCATTTCTTTTGCCGTATCCATGGTGTCCTACTTTGTCTTCTTCTTATATAGCTGTTCTCATATTTTGGCATTTAAGTCCCCGATTATTAGCGTTAATTTTGATCTCTTTTCTTCTATAGCCGTTGTTATGTCTTCATAGAAATGTTCAATATCTTCAACGCTGTAGGTACTTGTTGGAGCGTACAACTGTATGATTTTTAAGGACGTTCTTTTTAATTTAAGCGTCGTTGCTAGTCTATCATATATGCCCTTGGTAGATTGTATGTATTTAACTGCTTTTTTATTTATTATAAATCCTACTTCATTGTTGGTGATTTCTTCATTACCTTTATAGTATAGCAAATTTCCTGATTTTAGCTGTATTTTTTGTTCTCCTTTTCTTCTTACTTCGAATATGCCGATAATATCCCACTGTATTTTAGTCAGTTGTTTCTCTAGTTCGTGGATTTTAGTGCCTTCGTTCATTGATCTGATGTTATACGTTCCTATATTTATTTTTGTCGAATATTTGCCTCCCCCAGAATCCTTAAGGCGAACCGGTTTCCTGGTGTGGGATTCCGAGATAGTAACTATACCCACCTGGGGTCCTATTCCGTTTGTTTCATAATTCGACATGGTTCCTGAAGAGGGTTTTTTAGCATTAAAACACCTCGCTTACCAGACGGATTGGTGAGTTCTGTATCAGCAGTCCACTCTGGATCAGAGTAGAGGGCTACGAACGATATTAACTTTAATATTTAATTACACTAGTACGTTTTTTTAAAACTATTCATCTTCTGCTACAAATTACACTCAATATTATTTTCTTTGTGACATTTCCCGTGACGTAAGATCGTTTGTAATGTAACAGTTTAAATTTTGCGTTTTTTAGTCATTATTTTAAATGCCTCACATTTGTTGCCACAACTTAAAATTTAAATTTTATGTTAAAAGTTTCAAAGACTGGTCTCTAGTAATCGAAATGTCACTGTTACCGGTCAATTAAAATAATAAATTTGATTGATTTTACGAGAATTGTAAAGAATGGCAAATATCGCAATTTCTCAAAAAAAACTGCACTCTTCACTTTTAAAACGCATTTTGATTTTTGTTGATAGCACACTCTGATCAAAAGATATTAAATTTTTACTGTTGACTTGATACACATTTTCTTTAAAATTGATTACGCGCGCGCAACTGACATTCAAAATTGCCGGTCGCCTCAAGCGTTGTTTCTGAGACAACGGTGCATTCTACAGAACAAGAACTAACAAATTTTTTTATTAAAAATCATCTTAGCTTCAGTTTATATTTAAAATATTTTTTCTACAGCGTACAGATCTTTGGTAAATTGATTTTTTTTGTATTTTTACCCCTCTAAGTGTAGGGGTAAAAGTGGTAAACTTTTTTTGGGTTGGATGCAATATAGTTTATTAATAACTTTGGATAAGTCATTTATTTTATCATTTTGTAATCAAAAATGTCTTCTACATAAATCGTGTTTTTATCAAAATAAATTATCTAAAAAAACAAATTATTTGCTTACCTGCAAATATAGAAATACCTCTCGTTAAATGTTTTAAAAAACCAACTATCAATATTGTCCGAATACCGCACAAGATTTCTGTAAATTCATCTTCATCACTTTACATTTTGTCCAAATTTACTCCGTTTATACACTTATTCATTGTCTAAATTCACTGTGGTCTATTTAATTTAGTCTTTCGAAAAATCCAGATTTCCACGTTCAAACATCGTATTTGTACCGAACATTTGGTTCTCACAACTACCATATCTGATTGATCGTTACAAAAATCTCGATATAATTATCTTATCCATTAAGTATACACTTTGTCTTATCTCGTTATCGATAACTGTAATTAATTATGTGATAACTGTTCAAAGAATCTTTCCATTTTATTGTTATTTTTTTCGAGAGTACTAGAATGACGCGATTGTGTTATTTTTTTATTTAGGCATATCCTGTACAGTGATATTGATTTAGATAATGCTCGTACGTTGAGCATAACGTAAATGTATCTTTTAATTAATACAATAAGTAGGTATCATCAAAACTCTGGCGGAGAGGACGAAGAGAATTTGTGAACCATAGCATCTGCAAAGTGAACTTCTTCATATTGAAAAAGCGCTCACCTCTAATGGTTATACCAGAAGAGAAATACATAAAGCCATTAACAACGTTTCTAGAAGAAACGACGAAGAAACAGCATGTATAGGCAAAGTGTTCTTGCCCTATATATCGAGGGTAACATACAGAATTGGGTCGAATACTTAAAAAAAAGCTAATTTAACAACCATTTTCAAGCCTACAAAGAAAATCAAGGACTGTTTAAGATCGGTAAAGGACGAAGTTAGCAACGGTCGGAGTACCGAGTACCATGCACATGTGGAATGGTATATGTGGAAACCACAAAAAGACACACAATCACAAGGATAAACGAACATAAAAGCCATTGTCGTTAAGGACATATCGACAAATCTGCCGTTGTGAAACACACTTTGGGAAGCTGAGAACATTGGACACTGTTTGAAGAAACGCAGATGCTGCTAGACCAGTAGAAAATCTAAATATGACCTCCGTAATACGACGCGGCGTCAGTTTTCGCTTACAAGCGAAGCAGTACCATCTTCAGAAGATGGAGCTCTTATATCTTTCTCGTCAATGTTAGCATTGTGTAGCATTTTTATCATTACGTCATGTTTTATGGTGTCAAACGCTTTTTCATAATCGAGGAATGTTATGACTATATCCCTTCGTTGATCCATGAAGTTTTGTACAAGCGTATTCAAGTAGAAAGCTGCTTTGTGTGTACCCAGTCCGCTTTTGAAACCAAATTGTGTCTCACCGCTGAAATCTTCCAGCTTTCTGAACATTTTTGTGTGAAGGATGCGAAGAAACACCTTAAGCAAATGGTTCATTAAACTTATCAGTCTGTAATCTTTGCATTTTGTCACTCTTTGTGATTTAGGGATCATTATAAAGATAGAATAAAGCCAATCTGTTGGAATGTAGCCGTGTTATATATGGCATTGAAAATTGTTACAGCATGTCGATGTTATCATCTTCCAACAGTTTTATGCTTCCGTAGTAATTCCATCCGGTCCAGGGCCTTGACTATTTTTGCTACTTTTATAGCGTAGTCCACCTCAGCACGAATAATAGAAGGCCGGATAAATTTTTCGTGAGTAAGTTAGTAGTTGGCAGAATCGGTCTATTGTCCGTAACGAGGGACGAATCATAGTCTGCCCATTCATAGTTTCATTCTCAGGCGAGTCTCATGTTGTTTCTTGTATATACTCACAATTTCTTTGACCTCTTTATATAGTCCAAAGCTGTCTCCCTTTTCTGTAGTGATTCAAATTCTTCACACCGTTCTTTTCATCCAGCTTTTCTTTGCGTTTTTATTTCTTGCTCCTATCGTCCGTTGGATTTCCTTGTATTCCTGTTGATTTTGATGTATTTTGTACTGTCTGCGTTGCTCCACTAGTTCAAGTATCTCTTCCGTCATTCACTCGTGTTTGTGACTTCTTTTTATTCTACTTGCGACTACTTCGTCAGCCTCGACTATAGCTATTTTTATTTTCTCACAGGTTTCCTCTATGCAATTTCCTTGTATGTTTCTCAAATTCTTGTTTTATATCTGTTAAGCGGCCACTCTTTTTATATAGTTGCGGAATCTTTTGTTTATCAAGATGTAATCAATTTGATTTCGTATCATATGACCTAGACGATCTCCTGGTGCTCGCCATGTATACAATCTTCTTGGTGGGAGTTGATACCACGTATTGGATATGACGAAATCGTGGTCATTACAAAATTCAATTAGTAACTCTAACTAATAACTAATAGCTTTTGCTAAAGAATTTGACAATAATTGAACTGCAGGTCTTACTTTTTGGCTCATAGAGCCTTTTCAAACAGAGATGATGTAGTATCAATTTATGCGCAATTGTCAATTCTGAAGTCGATATATTTAGTAGCGCTTCAAAGTAATCACTGTTGATTATTTTATTGTCAATAACAAAACCATGATCAATTACATAATTGGAGCGCTAGATGTTAGGTGCCTCTCTGAGAAACCAAATTGAAAACGAAGAAAAACGTCGAAAAACAAGAGACACTATCGAAATAATCAGGTGGCTAATATTAAATTAGGCAGGACACGTCGTCAGAGACAAATGGAAAGAGTTGATGGAGACCTATGCGTACAGGTTATTATTATTATATTATTATATCATTTATTGAACAAAATATAATATATAAATTTTACAACATAGCATAACATTGGAAAATAATTAGTAAAGTTTAACAAAAACTAATAATTATCTTGAATAGAACATAATATCACACAAATAGCAGTCTCTTTATCATATTTTTAAATTGTTCTAAGGACTGGAAAAATAAGTCCAGATCACTTTGGTACCTATTATATAGTCTCACCATATGAGTAAGAGGCTTGAAGTATTCATAATTAAATTGATGAAATGGTAGATGAAATAATGAAGTATGCCTAGTTCTATGAAGAGTGTTAAGACCTAATCGTTTTAAAAGTTCAGGCAATTTATCAAATTATTAGCAATTTTGTAAAGGAATATTAGGCAAAAATAATCTTTTCACTGATTCATAGAAACCATTTTCAAGTGATCAGCTATCATACTATAACTATATGGAACAGAGAGGTCATGAAAAGCACTACGGTAATGATAGTGTTTACCAAATTTATGCTGAACACGATCAAGCTTGTCTATAGATGTTTGATTAGTAAGGTCCCCATACAACTATTGCATATTCTAGTCTGGAATGAATGAGACCATTAAGAAGAGTGAATTGGTAAAACAAAACATAGAAAATTGAGAAGTGTTTCTAGTTATAAACCCTAATTGTTTAAATGCACTGTTTACTGTGACCTCTAGATGCTTACGAAATGCTAATTTACAATCAAAATAAAAAATAAAAATCAAAAGGTTGATCATGATGATAATGATGATGATGATGATGACGATGATGATGACGTTTTTAAAGATATGAAGTAGTTCATAAATATGTTTAAGTTCGATACCAAATTTGGATAACTTTTATATTACTAAATTTAAAAATTTGAACTATAAAGAATGTATATTTAATAGTTTAATACCAAAGATATGAACTTAAAAAAAACAATGTAAACTATAGTTTCACCCCTCTCCCTAATCTGCTCAGTGGGGCACTTTGAACGTATTGGGTGATCTAGGCAACGTTTTACAATTCTCAATTGGAAATATGTAGTACTATTATAGTACGTCTTTTATTTGTTACTCTATGAGTTTTGAATGAAAACTCTTCCAATTCATATGACATGTATTAATTTGCACAATAAGGTTATTGTCCTATAATTAACAGTAATTTTAAAACTACTGACACATCGTTCATTTTTATTGCACGTAGGTGCGTAAACCATTCTCCAAACCTTATCAAATTGATAGCGTTCACTAAATGAAACAATTTGTATACAGACATCCCGGTATCTTAATTGATTACATTGGCGATTTTCAAGTATTAGAAACAAGTGGCAGTTATAAGTTTGGTAAACAATGATAAACAAATTGTTCTGATTTACTTTGTCAAAAAAGATCACGTGAAATATAACAGATCTTTATATATAAAAATCTTGTGTCACGTATATTTGTCCAAGCTAATATTCACAACCACGTGAACCTATTGCAATAAAATTTTGTGAAAGTGTTTTTGATGGTCCAACTTAGGAGATAGTATATTTTTTATCTCCCTAAATAACCCTAATTTTTTATTTGTAAATTTAAAACGTTTTATATGACTTTACCTCAACAGTTTTAGTTAATTTGACCCATGTAGTTATAAAATATCATAAGATAACGTTTACCAAACATCATTTTATGTTCTTATAACTGTTTTTATAATAAATCGAGAACGACTTAAGATTTTGTTAAATAGTTGTGACAGTTTACTTGCAAGTTCAAAGATTCCATATTTTAAGAGTTCATTGGGTATACCATCTGCTCCAGGTGATTTTCTTGTTTTTTTAACTTCGTGACCTATGTTTCTACATCTTCGTCATTGATTGTAGCACTAATATCTGCTTCGTATTCGCTTATGTTCAGTGTTTCTTCAGTATCATATAGCTCTTTAAAATGCTGTTGCCATGTCGTTCACTGGTTTTTTCCTGTTTTGAAGCATTTTCCATACTTTCTTTTAGTAAATTGTAGGTCGTAGTCCATGTCGCTGGTGAACTTAGACCAATGTTCTTTTTTGATTGATTTTATTCTTGCGTTTACTTCGTTTATTACTTGGACATATTCTGCGAGAGCTTCTGCCGATTGTGTACTTTTGTATCTCAGGTAGCATTTACGTTTTAATTCAGAGAGTTCTTTTGTTTCTAAAGAACCATTGACTAAAATAAAAGAAAATATCAAATCAAAAAGGGCTCCTGGCTATCATTTAATCACTGGTGAGTTACTAAAAAACCTACCTTGTAAAGCAGGGAAAGATAAGGGTCAAAATAAATAGAGATCTAGGAACCACTACAATTTTAATAAAGTAAAATTTTTGTTTCTAGTTGACCATGGTTTCTTCCCAAAACATGTTCGTAGGATTGTAATCCATCAAACTCTTTTATGTATTATAATGATTCTATCGGTGATTTAAATCATCTTCAAATCATCAAAAATAATTTTATTGTATATGAACTGTCATCATTCTGCATGGGTAAGCTCTAAATTAGATAAATACGGTAATCTAATGTAACATCTCATTGACTCTTC